TTTATTTTTCTCATGTTACATAACCGTATTTTCTAGAAATCAAAGAGATTTCATTTATATCAATGTAATTTATAATGATGACGGCATCAAAAATATGAGTTGATCAACAAATGCGCATCTGAAAAAGACCATCTACGTTTCTGAGCTTTTTTCTCCAATGGCCCAATTGAGCTTTTAATAAATTTTTTCCAACCTTTACGTGCTCCCTGTATAATGATTATTCAAAAACAATATGGATGAGCTCTCTAAGGAGAAGATGTTTGTGATAGTGAACAAGTTTGGGCTAGTACCTCAAAAAAAAAATGAAATAACATTTTTCACTGAAAAAGGCCCATTTCATTGCTGAAATTGAAATGTTTAAAATAATATATTTAACCCCGGTTACCAACCGTTGAATATACAGGAATCTCAAAAGTGAAAAAACAAAAAGGATGAGGAAAAAAAAAATAAAACAGGAGCTTCATACTGATAATTATAAGTATATGTATTTCAATTAATGATAAATGTATCAAGTGTGGGATCGATAACAATAATTCAAAATAACAGTAAATAAATTATATCAATTATACCTATCAATTACAATTAGACATTTTTGAAAATGTTCCTCATTTCTTTCGTGAGCTATTGGTAAAACCTTCATTGCAAAGGAAACTCTCCAGTGAAAAAGGAGAGCCAACAATAATACAGAAAATTAATGTTAATAATTACAGTTTCTGATGATTTGGTATTTTGAAACATAAAACAAGCAATCTCTCAAAATTTCAAATTTATAATAGGTAACTTGAAGTGCTTCACAGTTTGCAACTCACTGTGTTGAAATTTGAGAGCACTGGTAGTTGAACTTACCCAAATTTTCAATAACTGCAAGTTATAAGTTACAAAATATCAAATTATTTATCGCGAGTCAAAGATACTAAATATCAAATTATTGCATGTCCACTTGAGGTCCATTCAAAGATTGCACCTGGCAGAAGTGCAAAAGGAATCATAAGTTTGTTATGTGTTGGAAATTATTGCATATGTGAATTGAAGTAATACAGATGCGAGTTGCCAATCCATAACTTGCAGGAATTTGAATTGTTCAATACAAAATTTCAAATAATTACAATTTGCAAAATATCAATTATCTGCAAGTTACAATAATTCAAATTTCTGCAAGATAACACCCCTACAATAGGTGAAAGAGTTAGCAACTGGCAGAAATTTGAAAGAAATTACTGCAATTCAATTGTATGTGGGAAAATTCGCAGCAAATATTCAAAAATTGAGTTTGAGTTACTAAAAATTATAAGTTGCAATATTTTCAAGTGCTACAAGTTATAGCTAGAAGAAATAATTGCAATCTATATCTGTTTAATACAAAATGTCAAATTATTACAATTTACAAAATATCAACTCATGACTCAGAAATTTGAAAGAAATCACCGTAATTCACTTGTAAGTAACAAAAGTTTCAATATTTTTAATTGCTGCAAATTATAGCTTGAATTAAAAGAATAACTATAATTCATGATAATATATGCTGCAAAATCCCAAATATCTGTAAGTTAAATCTGAAGTTATAACTTTGTAGTTTGTACTAACAATATTTATCCAAAAATCCAAAACAATAAGTTTGTTCGCGTTCACAAAGAAGATAAGTGTTTGCGTTTTTCAGGACTGTATCGAATTCCACATATCACGTTTTTTCTTTTCATAGGAACTAGTTTGGGATAGTTTCGAATCGGTCCAAAGCAGTACGAGCCTCTAGGCAAGAACTGCCAATAACTGTCGTGGATGATTTTGGATGCGCATGCGTTTATGCAACAGATATGTAACCTCAAAGAGTTCTTATGTTAAGATACACTTTTAACCAAGATGAAGAATGGGGTTCATGTTCCAAGAATAATTTTAACAACATATCTGTACTATACAGGGTGTTTCATTGGGAAAGGTAAATAATTCAACTGTGGATAGGGGTCACTGAGGTGATTTCAAAAAACCCATGGTTGATGGGTCTTCGACTTCTTATAACCGAGATACAGGATGTTTCATCAATTTCTTCATTGTCTCATAACTTTCCAACCAACCTGTATATATTTAGATTTATCCGTTGCCTGGTTTGCCAGAAACATCTAATTAACGCTTATCGTGAAAGGCCCTGTATAGTTTTGATGACGGACCTGCAACTAAGTCTGGAACAAAGAACGATAATTATGAAATACTCCTTCTAAATGTAATACTCACGTATACTGAATAGGAAGTAATAAAATTAATAAATCTCGTCTGATTCCAATTTTGTACCCCAAAATGAGCAAAAATAATATTTTGAGCACATAATATTATGAATAGTTAAAATCGTCTGTGCAAGAATAAAAAGCACATCGTTGAATGAAAAATTTTGATGTTCTTCTCAGATATAGCAAAAAAAATGGGAAATTCGAATGTATAGGGTGTTGTTTTCTGGCAGAAAAAATTTGTGAATTTTAAGTGAAGCCGGACCTGGATTTTATCTTTTGTTGTTGCCTCAATCAATTCCACAGGGTAGATTGAGCAAGTGTACCAATTTTTAAAAATATATACAGGTTGGTTGGAAAGTTATGAGACAATGAAGATATGGACAATATTGATTAAACATCCTGCATCTCGGTTATAAGAAGTCGAAGACCCATTAACCATGGGTTTTTTAAAATCACCCCAGTGACCCCTATCCACAGTTGACTTATTTGCCTTTCCGAATGAAACACCCTGTATAAAAAAGCCTTGAAAATACTGTATCGCCTTCCATATGACACCCCATCAAATTAACTTTATGAAGAAACAAATACTTTTCTTTTGGAAGAGCACTACCTGATAAATACTCTCAAAATTTCTTTTGATGCTGCTAATTCTACACTTAGTCAAAAAAAGTTCACTCACGGAGCTATACTGATGATATCAAAAGTTACACAAATATGACCCAACTCAAAATTAAAGTCAAGAAACAAATCCTCTTGCAAAGAGAAAATCAAACCTGAGTGAATGATTTCTCATTCACTAATTTATTTCATCATGTCATAATGTACTTTTCATGAGCTTTTTGTTTTGTTATTATTATTTTTGAATCTGTTGTTTATTTCAATAACTATAATTTGATTTAATAACGCATGAATAATCTCATACCAGATATGAATCTGTCTGATTGTTCATGTTATTTCATTGTAAATGTTGACCCATTAGCGCCTACCGGCACCATATGGATCCATCGGAAGGAACGCCCTTTCGAGTGGAGGGAAATGCTAGTGGAATGTTTTCTTTCAACACTTGATAGATCTTATCGCTCAGTAAGCTTCTAAGAACCGGTTCATCGAGTAATTGTGTATTTGTGATAAAGGATTGAGTGTCAGTGATCCTGCAAATATTTTGCTTATTCCGTCAGATTGGAAATATGGATCTGAAATTCGTGTAAGTAACATTAGTATACTTTGTGGATTTTGATTTGCATTGAAATTTCATCTGTGTACTCTCATAATATAAAACTATATTATGAATCATCCAGGGTGATTTTGAAGACTTCAGATTTTTTCATTTTCATATGAAAACATCAGTGTTCCCATATGGGATCTCTAGGCGACTTCGTGATTGAAAACATTTTATTGTGAATTTTGATTTCAGTGGAATAACGTTACAAGAAACACTCGATATGGTATATGAAGATGGCGATGAGATATCAAGTATTTATATAGAACCCCCTGAAAGTCATATCCTGAAGATTCGGCAGATGAGGATGACAAGGCAGGTCTTGCTGATAATCTCAGCGCAAGGCAACTTTCCGCGGGCGCGGAAGTTGTTTTTGCGAACAAAAAGAGATTGGGAGGACCAGGAGATCCTGAATCCTGAATGTACTGTGTTAGAATCAGATTCGCTCGTGACAGGGGAGCTGGACTCAGAAAATCCAGCATTATATCAGTCGGTGGCAGGAACTAGCAGAAAATTCGATAACGAAGCAGAAAATGATAGACTGCAATTATTATCTATGATAATGAAACCTTCACATCATGGATTTGACGAAAACGCTATATAGAAAACATTATATTGAAAGAGTGGTAAAAATATAAGCCAATTGGAATTTTGGTGTTGGACATCATGTAGTACCTGTACCAGGAAGAAAAAGAAGAAGATGTGGTGGGACCAACTGCACAAGTAGAGGCAGAACAATGTGCAATAAATGCGATCTAGGACACTGTGTTGATTGTTTCAAGTATTTTCAAACAAACTAGATATCGAAAAAAATCTTGTGGATCGCCTAGTGGTTCCATATGGGAACACCGGATTCTGAGTTTAATTTTGAAAAACCAAAATAAATAAAATTGATTTTTGTGTCTTCTAATGCTTCTTATTTGAATTCTCGGCGCTAATGGGTTAATAAATATATTTATATTTGTATGAGATGCAATGTAATGTTTATAGCAAAAAATGAAATAAATATTATTATTATTAAATTATAGAAAGAAAGCTCATTGCCCTATCAGATGAAAACAAACGTTTTTTAACATGTTAACTGCTGGAAAATCCCAAGACCAATCTGGAGGATGGTGATTTTGAATGGATCTGTACTCAGAAGTGTATGAATATTTTAGTATGGAAGGTTTGTGTTCAGGTCTTGAATTTTGGGATAATTTCATGATAACATCAACATAACCCTAACCTAAATATGCCCTCGATTCTCGTGAGTCAAGACTCAGCATATTATATAGAAATTTAGAAATAAGATGAGAAAACGGGAAAACTCCGTTTCCGTTTATCTGGATTGAATTTGGTGCGCACCTGATTCTGCGCAATCCAAGAACCGTTGCAACAATTTGGAACACGAACAAACCTGATTACTTATAGCACAGTTTAAGGAATGGGTATGTGCTTATAGCCAGTCTTTTCAAATTGCTTGGAGTCGTATAACAAGCAATAATTTGAAATTTGTTATTTCATTTGGCGCTCATAATCTTTCGCAAGTAAGAAAAAACACGAAAAAGAAAAGATGAACCCTAGTCTTGCCCGCCGGCATGCGTCTGCGCCTGCACGAACTTCTGCAGTCTTCTTCTTCTTATCTCCTCTTCAATGCCAGCCTCCGTCGTCGACTCCTCCCCCCTCCCCTCCTCCTCCTTGGAGGTGCCAGGCTTGTCGATCGTCGAACTCGCCTGGGCGCCCGAGTTGGCGCCCGAGTGGCCGGTCGTGGGAGCCGCCTGGGCGCTGCCGCTGGTCGTGGGAGCCACCTTGGCCACCTTGGGGGAGTCGGCGGACGCGGGGGGGCCGGTGGCGGGGAAGGGGTTGGGGGCCGCGTGGGGGGCAGGCATTTGCGCCGACAGTATCGCGGTGGTGCTGTACTGTTGCATCATTACTACTGCGGCGTCGAGAAGCATCTGAAGGCACAACGATATTTAATGAGTATAAATATACAGGGTGTTCCGTAATGACATGCAAAAAAAAACGATATTTTATGAGTATAAATATACAGGGTGTTCCTTAATGACATGCAAAAATTTTAAAATGTTACAAACAAAATTTGAAGTCTGGTCTCGTTTTTCCGATTTTTCTCGAAAACGGAGCGTTCTATCGCGTATCAACAGGAAGATCTTTTTCGTACAGAATTGAATGGCCTTTCATAGGATTTTATGAAATTAGGAAACTTTCCTTCGTTGCTCACTTTTAAGTAAAATATAAACAATAATATCCCCCATCGACGCTACTGGTAGAGAGAATGGAAGTTTTCATACATCAGAAAATGCACCTTGATGCATAGAAGACATGTACCAAATTTTCTTAAGATGTCTACAATATTATCTCAGTTATTATTGGAAAACTGAATTTTTTTAAAAACTTCATCGCCCTGTATCTCAAAAGTTAGGACTTTTAGGACATGATAAAAGTGATGATAAAAGTCGCTAGAAATTATTTTCGAGTTTGTCAAACGTCAGTTAGAGGGCGTTACAACCAAGACCAAGTATGAAAATGGGATTTTTATAGAATTTTGTCTAATGAGAGTATATCGATGATATCATTTTCATATTTACTGACCATTTCCCAACATGTTTCGTTCAAATCGTTTTGTTCTATCTATCAAAATAAAGCGGTGGGGGAAGTTCAATTGTTTTTCTAAACAAACCAAGATTTCTTCCGTTCATTTCGACCACTTTCATATAACAAACTTAGGTTCATATGTAAGGGCATAATTTGCCCTACAAAACGCTCATATGGTTTTGAATTTTTGACTTTTGCTGTCGCCGCTAGATGGCGTTAACTGAAATGTTAGCAAATTTTTGAGTTGAAAAAAAACCTAAATGCAATGGTATATCAATTTTTATATGTTTTGAAAGATGATAAATTTCTCTATAATTATCACCTATACCAACTATAATTTTATTACATTAAAAAATGGCACGCCACTGTTTTTCATCAAAATAAAAATCAGTTTTGTTATCTCTTATTAGTTTCCAACAAAAAGAACCTCTTGACTTTTTTTCGTTAGACAAACCGTTTTGGATTGAAAAAATAAAATAGGTTTACATGAGGCGCCCATATCTAAAATAATTTTATAAACAGTATGTAAACCTATTTTATTTTTTCAATCCAAAACGGTTTGTCTAACGAAAAAAAGTCGAGAGGTTCTTTTTGTTGGCAAATAATAAGAGATTACAAAACTGATTTTTATTTTGATAAAAACAGTGGCAAGCCATTTTTTATTGTAATTAAATTAAATTTTGGTCAATATCAACGGTTCAAAACAAGGTAGATGATAAATTATTTCCATTAAATTATAGAGAAATTCATCCTCTTTCAAAACATATAAAAATTGATATACCATTGCATTTGTTTTTTTTTGTGAAAAAACTCAAAAATTTGCTAACATTTCAGTTAACGCCATCTAGCGGCGACAGCAGAAGTCAAAAATTCTAAACAAAATGAGCGTTTTCTAGGGAAAATTATGCTCTTTCATATGAGCCTAAGTTTGCTAAAATCACTGATCACCCTGTACAGTTAGTACGTTTTACACCTTTCAGAATAAACTTATCCCTAGAACGGGAATTAGTTAGCTCCTAGCGGTCTTCTTTCGCGAACATCCCCTTACCTGAATGTTCCTCAAGCACTGTATCCTAGCCTCGACGTTCTCTCGCTCGCTGCCCTCCATTCGGAGCAGCTCCTCGGGCGACAACGCCGCCAGGTTGTGCGGCGGCATCGGAGGCGGCGGCAGGAACGGCAGGAACGGAAAGGGGGGAAAGAGGAAGGGGGGCGGCGCGTGCGCGGCCTGCGGCTGGTGCGTGGTGGCAGGGGCGGCCTGCCTCTCGGCGCCAGCTGAAACGGAAAAGATCATGACAATTCAACATATTACACATAATTTTGGTCCTTCGAGCCGGATAGTAATATGAATTTATTCATATAAATATAATATGATAATAATAATGAAGGGATCATCTGCTATTCTTTAAGACTAGTTAACACCTTTCATGCCCTGTGGATTATTTTTAATCGTCTTTTCATCTGTTCATAAAAAAAAAACTAATTCCACATTCAAATACAAATTTTAAAGAAGGAATAAGGTGTAGCACTTTTGTGTCGATTGCAGAAAAATAAATATTTCAGAACAATTTTCGAAAATACCTAATCCGGCCGGCCTGCCCTGCTCCCCGGGCGCCGCTGCCTGCTCTGCGCCGTTCGCGTTCGGCTGGTTGAACATCTGGAAGGGGTTCTGGCCGGCGAAGAAGGGGTTGCCGAAGGGGTTCGGCGGGTTCGGCGGCCGCTGTCTCTGAGGGGGCACGGTCGCCGGGTTGCGCAGGATGTTCAGGCGGCATGTCGGACACGTTTGCTGGAAAACAATTAGAATTTGTTGATTTTATATGATTACAAAAAAATGTCTCCTATTATTGGAGCTCTCAGAAGATGTCCCAAGCTCGATAAAAAAGTTGCAAATATAATTCTATATTCTCATACACTCAGTCGCATTAACTTTTTGATAAATGTTTGGGGATATTGTTCAAAAAACAATGTTAATGAAATATCTGCATTATACAGGGTGTCCCATACAAATGACCCCCCCTACCACCCCACTCTTTTTAATCCATTACTTATGGGACACTCTGTATAAAAAGATATTAAAAGTACTGTATCGTTTACCATATGATACACCAACAAATCAAATAAATAAAATAATCGAATCATTTTCAATGGCAGAAATGTTTAAAGATTCATAAAAGATTGAGATCCAATTTTATTTTAACATGAAACAATGAAATTCATGATTACCAAACTAGACAACATGGTTTATTTCATCTTGATATTGCTAATTCTTCTATAGGCCAAAACAAATTCACTCACGCTGCTCTGTTTGAATATAACAAATTACCAGATAATATAAAAAAATGCAGAAATACGATCAAATTCAAATATCAACTTAAAAAATTCATCATTTTTGAATGGAATAGATGATCTTTTCCCCAACTTTGGATTCCTATTCAAATTGATTTTTGTCCACTGATATGAAATGATTTGTAAACATTTATATTATATTCCTCATGTGAGTTTGTAATAATTTTAAAGTTAGGTATCATGGTTAACTATCCTTCCTTATACCAGAACTTGTTTCTGACTGGAGGTCACATTTTCAATAAATAAATACATTTCCTTATATTATAGGAAAAATAATCGATTGATTGGTCTATGAAAGAAGTCAGCGTCCACAAATTCATTTCTACTATAGACATGATATGTTTACATTTTGCACAAGAGATGCAACTCACTATAGGGTATCATATGAATACACATAAAATACATCATCTGAAAAGACAGGTCAAAAATACACGAAACATACAACATATTGAAAATATTAAGAACTAGTGCCTAACTCAAAACCCAAGTAAAGACTAGCAGGAAGATTCAAAATAATACTTAAACAATACCTGGTCAAGACAATTTGGTTGAGAAATATGTGGCATGATTTGATAACTCTAAATTGAAATGTAATAACTTTCATCTTAAGAAAAAGTATGAATATTTTTCAGATACCCAGATGTAAGGTTTCAAACAATGATATTGAACTTTTTGCCAGTAATTCAACATTTTTTGAACAACAAGATAAATGGTTAAGTGATACTGAGACTGAGACATCTTCTTTTTCTGTCATGAAAATTAAATCAGGTATTGATGAAAATTCATCAATTACAATGGTATTCCATTCATCATAAAATATCTCAAAATTTTAAGAGGAATCAAAGAAGCATCTACTCCTGTAATATTGACATTTCATTTGTATATATTTATTTCTTTATAAAAACTATTGATTTCCATCCAGTGCCTAACGACGGAATCATTTGCTAAGAATTATTTTTAGATGAAGTGAAAAAAGGATTTCTTCTTGAGTGTGAGTCTTATGTCACTGTCTTCTTTATTTTGTTGGCTATTCCACTCTTGTTCTCTAGAATCAATCAGAATCGACCATTTTCACAGTTTCTTCTGTATCACAGGGATATTTTTTGTTTACTAAAATTTATCGGGAATTGACTCACATGTGACCAACCAACCACCAACCTCGTTTTTCATCAATAAAATTTTTGACATTTAAAATTTCAATTACATAATTGACATTTTATAAGCCAGAATGATTGATGCAGTGTGCGTAACTCTCGCGAGGCGCTCGTTTATTGTCTCAATCATGAAATAGTCAACGGAATACTACTGGTGAGGTGGTGGGGCACATAATTTCATAAAATGAATCGGAATTTCAACATAAAAGTGTACTTCATATATTCTTCATGTTTTTTAACATCTCTTCTTCCCTTACCGGCTTCAAAACAAAGTAAAGTAATAAAAAAATATGAGCTTTTCATACCTGCCGCTGGAACCACGACCGCAGACACGAAGTATGGAAAATATGGTTGCAAGGCAGCTTCTTCGACGCCGTAGTCATCTCCTCCCTACAAATAATGCAGACATTATCCGCAGCTTGCAGCTCTTCCGGCGTCGCATCCGGATACAGAGTGTTCATGTTGTGTATGGCCCTCCTCGACAAAATCACATCGCTAAAAGCCTTCTTGAAGTTGCGTATGGTGTAGTACATGGGCCGGAACGCGAACAACGGCAGCGTGTAAATCCGCACCATGATGGCCACGAAAGCCACATAAAGGATGACTTTGATGAAGCCCATGACCAGCTCCGTGTAGAGCAAGAAGACGGCCTTGTTGTCCCAGGGGGTCTCGCTGTTGAGATCGACCGAATGCAGGCCGTATTTGATGGCGATGTTGATGACGACGGTTATCAAAATGGCGTATTCGAAGCCGAAGACTAGCTGTACTGAAGCGCCTTTGGAGACGGTGGATAGGTAGGCGTGCTGGATGAAGTGGAGGTCCAGGGAGCCCAGGAGCAGGAGCAAGCTGAGGACTCTGGAGTGGAACAGCCAACTGATGACTGGACTTCGTTCCATCTGGAGGAGGTGTGGTTAATGAATTAATTAATTTATTACGTTCCAAAAAACATAAAAATGTCATCTAGGAACAGCTCTCTTACTAGTTACAAGTCATTGTAGTCATAATATCGGACATAATAATTATAGATAGATAGATAGATTTATTTGTTTCAAAAACATACAGTTTGAGGAAAAAAACGTCAAAATTAGGCTAAAGTACATGAATAAATATCGTAGGTATAAAACAAACATAATAATATACAAGATTTCACAGGTACATAAACATAAAAAGTATATACACGTCTACTCGAACATTATTCATCAGTTAGCGATGATTGGATATCACAGAAGAATTCATCCGAAGTGTAATAAGATTTCTTCAGAAGCAATTGTTTCATTTTATTCTTGAATTGGAATTTATTTTTCGATTCTTGTATAGATTTTGGCAGGCAATTGTATAATTTACATCCATTGTAGTATAAACTTTTTCGGTCTCAAAATAACGTTTATGATTATATACAAAACAGGTCACTTCATAAATATAAAGGAAAGGGAAATCATTGTGAAGATACCCAAGTTTTTAAAATATTCCCTGCATGAATCTTTTGCTCTCAGATTTCCCAAGATACGGACTGCCCTTTTTTGTAAGGTAAAGGCCATGGACGTATACGTATATATTTGTTTATATGTCCATGGTGAAGGCCCTATGAGCATCTGCGGAATTTGCCCAATGTATGAATCCATATTTTAGATTGGAGTGGAAGCACCCGAAACACGATTGTTTCATTATTTCTTTGCTACATTGTTGTGGTGAAATCAAAAGGGCATAGCATATTTTAGCTAGCTTCGAACACAAACTATCTACAAGCCCATACCACTCAAGGTTACTTTCCAAAATAACTCCAAGCAATATAGTATTTAGAGCGCAGGTGATTTCTGTATTATTTAGAGTTAGGTGGTTAGGATATTCTGAACCAGAAGATTTGAAAATAACACAGGTCGATTTATCATTATTCAGACAAAGCTTGTTCACATCAACCCACTTGCAAACATCCATGTATACAAGTTCGGCCTGTTTTTTGGCATTATAAACAGTGTCTGAAATGAACAGAAAGTTTGTATCATCAGCATAAGCTACTACTTGAGTACAGTGCGGTCTCATTGATACAATCAAATCGTTGATATATATAATAAAGAGTGTTGGACCAAGAATGGATCCTTGCGGCACACCTATATTCACAGATTTCAAATCAGAAATATAGTAGTTGTTATATTTAACCTGCTGTTGTCTATCAGTCAGATATTATGCAAACCATTGAAGAGTAACTCCACGAATTCCATATCTCTCCAATGTATACAAAAGAATATCATTTTTTTTATCGTTTGGAGTGCACGAAAGGAAATCCCTGCAATGTTCAAAGAACATCGTGCGCTCCTAGGGAGGACAGGGACAGGAGATAGGTTAGCAAAACCGCATAATAGCTCTGTGTGAATATGGCACTTCACCAATGACGTCAGCAGAATGGTGAAGGAGCAAAACAATTTCATTACTTTTTTTTTCTGAAGTGAAATGTCAACCTGTTGAGAAAATAAAAAATACATATATTAGTTATTTTTGTATCTAGTGCGCAAAATGAACCTTTGGTTATTGAGAATTGATTTTTTTTAAGGAGGCGCAGCAGATTTGAAAAAATAGTGAAGATGATCAAAATATTTTGCACATGAGTTTCAAACAACATTTTTTCTACAAACGTGAACGATTTAGTTCTAGCCTTTTGCAGGCTTCAAGAGATAAAAAAAAAACTATTTTCAAAAATTAAAAAGTCTAATAACAAAAATCTCAAATATGTAAACATAACAGTGCAAGAAGAAGGACTTTGCAATTTGTTATCAATGCGCGAACCTTGTCATTATTTGACGTTTGTAGAAAATAGTTATTTCCTAACAAGTGTGCAAAGTGTTACTCTTCCCTCTTCCACACGCAAATACAGTTTGGCGAACGACGCGGAGCGGAGTTTGAATAAATTTTGGCGTGCGGACACTTTGCGCACGTGTTAGGAACAACGTTTTTCCTACGAGCTTCATATCAGATGAAAAGGAAAAAAAATGTAACTATGATAATAAAAAATCACATTTTCCCTAGGAGTTTCATATCAGATAACAACGAAAATGAAAAAATTTCAACTTGAATTACAATTTTGAATTTATTGAATAATTTTCAGTTAAACTTGATAGAAATAGCTAAACATCAAACATTAACATATCAATGAAATATAATGATAGAAAATTAAATCATTTGTTCCTAATATTTATATTGAGGTGAAATACAAATATCAGGAGGAACGGTTGAGAAGTAAAAGGGATAATGGCTTCTTATAGTGCATAAAATAGTCTACAGCAACTAAAATGAATATAAATGTTCCTAGAGTCACTGGATATTAGTTTGATAAGAGTTCGGACACAGAAATGACAACAGTTAGGGTTTTTGAATGTTTAGATTCATAAAGTTACACACCTTGCATTGTGACAGGAGCACCATAGTCGTCCGGCGCTTTCTCATCAAACATTTTTTGAATTTGACAAGTCATTATATAAACGTCAGAATTGAAATAAAATTTCATAATTATTATACTTTCGAGATAAAAGCAGCTATGGAAATCATTCGCTGTATAATAAATTGTGCCAATTTTGAAACAAATGGATATCATTTATTCGATTTTCCAAATCAAATATCAAGCATTCGCTTATGGAAGGAAGATATAAAAAGACCTGGGTGGAAAATCAATTTGGAGACGAGCGGTATTTGTGAGGTACTCATTGAAACTCACTTCTTATAACAGCATCTGATTAGAATGAATCTATTTTTTAGGCCCATTTTCAAACAGAAGATTTCAAAATCTGCTGTTTCATCAATTTACGGAGCAGACGATTTCAAGAACAAAATTCCATTATTATCATCACACAAAATACAAAACAAAATAATCATGGAAAGAGGCAATGATCGTAAAATTACATAATGAAATTGAAAATTTTAAAACAAAACTAATAAAAGCAAGTAAACTACAACGTGATATATTATTGAATGGCGTTTTGGTGCTGACTGCGAAAATTCAACAGTGAAAAGTGAATAGATATTTATGTATTAAGGGAATTATTATGAGGGCCTTAATTACGCTGGAGGTTATCGTTCTGGAGATATTTTCTATATCGATCCATGTTACTTAGCTCCTAGGGCGCTAAGTGAAGTTGCTGAGAACTCAACAAAACCAAGTATTTGGTAGGTCTCGTCACAATAAATTACTTTTCTCCCATGAAATCTTTATCGAAAAATGATTTGTTCTCTGTATTTTAACAGCCTGTATCTCCGAAATAAAGCATTTCCAGACACAAGCTTATATAGACTTTATTTCTTAAAATTGACTCAGGAATACTTCACTAGAGTACAGTTCCACATACAATAAGGAATCATAGCTATAAGTTTATCCATATGTATATATTCCCTGATATAAAAATGTTGTTACATGCATTTTTGTTTTCATTCATATATATCTTGCTCTGCTAGAAGTGTATCACTATGAATTGAAGTGAGTGTTTGTACCCTATATCCATTGTCCATCTACGGCTATGATTGATATGACAGAAAATATAACCTCTAAAGTCGTATCTGACAATCAGGCGCTACTAGGGAAATTAAAAAGATAAGGAGCAGAATATATGTCTTATTCTTTTATTCACTTAAACCATTGTATCATAGAAAATAGAAAAGGACAAAAGTTCAGCTGTGTCCGAACTCTTATCAAACTAATACCATCCAGTGACTCTAAATGTTCCATACCAGTGAGATTTTTGGGTAGTTTTACTTATCCGCACGCCGTACAGATAACACCCATATCCGAACTGAGTGCGGAAAAGTGTTACTTTGCGCACGCAAATGAGTGCGGAAAAGTACTACTTTGCACACGCTCGTAGGAAAAATAAATTTTCATAAGCTTCACAGAGAAATAAAAATGTCAATATAGGAAACTTCCCCATTATTATAAATGATGAAACACTTACATAGTCTACTCTATCTTCTGCTAACCAGTGAAAGGACTTCAAGAAGAGCAATAGAGTGAACAGTGCTACGAATTTTGGATTGAAATCATCTCTGAAGACTGTGAATGCCAGACATGTTTCAGTTATTGCATACCATGATCTTTCCATTAAATGCTGAAAGTAAATAAACTTTAATATTTATCAAAGGATTATTCAATGACTTTGACAATCCATAGTGGATTTAAATGTGTTTTTGGGATTAGATCTTATATCCTAGAATATTCAGCTTTTGGAAATTCAATTCGGGAATTTCCAGTTTGATTGAAATTTGATTCCTATGATTCTCCTTTCATTTTTATCAATATCTTGATATTACCTCAATTGGAAAACATTTGCATCAAAATTTGTATCATTCAGTGCCCTGATCAGGAAATAAACTGTAATTTCAATCAACAATAGAATCCTGAAACCTTTTATGGTACCTACTTGATAAAACATATAGGATGTTTTTGAAAAATACATAATCCAATAGAGAATAATGTCTATACAAATTGACTGAAATTGAATGATTTCAATACTTGTTGCAGTGGACAACAAAAAGGTACTGAAATTTCATCCACCAGCTCAGTTTGTCTTGTGCTTTGGGAAGACCATGTATATTCAGTAATTCATGGAAGACCATGTATATTCATTCATTAGACAATTTCTGATTTCCCATCAAGTTACCCAAGAAAATGATGTTTTAGGTGAGAAACAAAATTTCAAACAACCCAAAAATCTTGAAATACACCAACTGAAAGGGCTTGATACTGAATAACCACAACAATGAATTTGGAAATATTTGAAATCATCATAGACAACTCCAATGACATACATATTACACTTAAGAAAATTATGGCATTATATCATAGAGCAATGACTCTAGTAAATGATAGAAGTGACAGGTTATTGCTTCAGAAAAAAACCTTCAAAAGTTTGGATGGACAAGTGCAAATATCAACCAAATTGAGGTACCAGAAACAAATTGAGAGAGAAGAATCAAGCATAGTATTTTTAAAAGAAGAGATTCATAGAATTTTTGATGGAATTCCAATAAGGCTAGGAGAGAGCTACTGAGAACTGGTCTTCTGTTTGATGATAGATTCTTCCACAGAGTTACTTAATGAATAATTATTATGATATGTATTATAGCTGCTCATTGAATTCTGATATTCCATTCATTACCTCAAACTCTGTTGTGCGAAGCTGTCCAAAGAATATCTTCTTTATTATTTTGCCACTAATCCAAACGCAAATAAAGGCTTGAATGTAAATTACCTGAAAACATTATTTCAATTAAAACACTTCTACCAGTATGGTATACTATTTATACTTACAGCCATACTGGGATTTGATTTTGTGATATACACAACAGATGGGTAAAACTGTTTCTTTTGATAGTAGGCATTTGCGACGACTATAGATGTTAAAGCCAAACTTAGAACTGATATACTTAAGGTCCTCATGTTTATTCACATTTATGAACAGTTGGAAAATCTGATTTTCCAGATTTTTCAATACAACTTTTTCTGTTTTGATTCTGAAGTTATGACAAGTAAAGTTGTGAATCAAACCAATCAAAATGCTCAACGTCAGAAACAAATGTCAACGTCAATACTACGTTTTTTAGGGCGGGGATGCGAGAAGAAGAATAAAAATGATCATGAGCATAAGCTGCATAAGACACAGATGCTATACGTCATCAAACAGGACAAGTTTGGCTAACTTCTTTCATGCCTAAAATTTTGAAAGAATTATATGAAGAGCAGAATGTTTTTTTGATAGAAGTCATCAGTCATGACACATGACGGATGTTCGTTTTTTAACCTACATTTCTACATTCTACAAGGGTTTTGATTTTGGAATTTTGTGGCGGGGATTGCTATTTAACTCTAATAAAGTATTATTAAACTGCTGGTTGGTCATATTTGATTTTGATATAAAGTTAATATTAGAATAATGGGGGTGAGTATATTCCCCAACTTTTTTTCCTGTTAAAAAAACAATGTTTTCTAGCGAAAAACGGCGGCAAGCACAGCAAAAGGTAAAGAAAAACGACAACAGAGAAAGGAAGAACAACAAAGAATAAGTCAAGCAATGACCGTAGTTGCTGAAGCAAATAAGTTAGATGATCCTCTTGAACCCTTCCCAGTATTCAAGAGATTTTGTAAAAACGGTTTAGATGCTACACTTTTCGTCAAAAAGTGTATGAAACTTGAGGAAAATATTAGACAATGGGCCTTCAATTTAACCAAAAGAAATATGCAGTTGAAGTATGTAAATAGTTGATAGTTATGTAGTATTTGGGCTCCATGATGACTCTTTTATTGTTGAAGATATGAGCAATGCTCTTGGGGTTGGAGTGATGAAAAGAAATTGGAAGAATTGATGGATGATGCAGCATGGTATTTAGTAGCAAAATCAAATGAGGGTGCTTTACTTGGTTTCTCTCATTTTCGATTTGATGTTGATGAAGGCACAGAAGTCCTATATTGGTGTGTAGAAAAAAACTCTTCTTAGTTTCTGATGGTCTATAATTACTTTTTTCCAGTTATGAGTTACAACTTGATCCATCTGTACAGAGAAAAGGACTGGGAAAATTTATGATGCAGGTCTTAGAATTGATAGCTTTCAAGAATAATATGAGAAAAGTTGTGTTGACTGTTCTTAAAAATAATCAGTATTCCAGGTTTTTCAAAGCCATCAAGTAAGAACTTTTGCCAGTGCAATTTGTTAAGGATAAGGTTCAGTGCCTTTTTTTTTTCAGCTATGAATTAGATGAGTCTTCCCCAGTGGATGATGAGGATGAATCATATCCTTATGAGATATTAAGTAAATTTAACAAAAGGCTTGCTCCTCCTGTTACTGTGAAGAGCAATTCAAATGGTCATTGCTGTTCAGGTCATGGACATCATCACTGAAAGCCATAATAATATCTCCCATAATACAGTATTCTCAGTGGTCTGGAAAATCTTGATTAGGTATTTACTATTTTTTTCCTACTAGTCTGGAAAATTTTGTATGCAAGGATGTGATAAAAATACTCTCTTGTTCTCTCTCATGTTCTCATCTCATGGAAAAAATTGTATAATATCTTGGATTTCTGAGAATCCTGCAATTATTTTTAATTTGAACTGAACTTCATGATTTTTATATATTTTTTAATTAATTAAGGTTTATAATAAATAGTGGATTTGATCAGGTGAATATTTATTTTTCAAAACTAAAGGAATTAATAAATTATACAATAATAGGGTAAGTAATACTAAATTTTCATACTACTACTACAAAGGTCCCCCATTGTTGATGACTGCTATTTCTTGGTCATCTAAGGGTTTCCTCTTGAATCTTTGTGGAATTTGAAAGTCCCAAATCGGTTCTGTCGATTGAGCTTGTTTAATTTGTGTTGCTCCTTCCTGTGATTTGGGAGTTGAGTTTGGTTGGCTCCTGGAACTTCCATATCTGAATTTGATCAGTCTGGCTCTCAATTTTGGAGTGAACGAAAGGGACCGCAAAGTTATTTGGTTCAGCATGATTGTCTACAGATGATTCGAGCACATTCAGGACTTGGAAATTTGTTTCTTGATGAAATTGAAATGAAAATGTATTCTCTTATGTCATCTTCGGAGTTTGGACAATTTTTCAATTTTCATTTTCTTCTTCTTATTTTTAATGACCTCGTCAGTCGTCATGGGAGAACACAGGAATAATTCTTTTTATGGCCAAATTCTTTAACCATTGGGAATAGGGGCTGTTGTTACATGTGGGCCAATGCCAATATGGGCAAAAAAGGAAGGAGAAGCAAATAACATAACCTAGTTCTGTGCTTTGATTTTGAATGAAATGTTCAAAAGAGTTGTGATTGGAATATCTGGTGGAGTAGATAGCGCAGTAGCAGCCCTCCTATTGAAAAATAAAGGTAAATTTTGGGATTAGAAAAAGAAACAATTCAGGAATATAGTTTTTGTGCCTGCAGGTTTCAGCGTGCATGGAGTTTTTATGCAAAACTGGGACATAAGAGATGAAAAAGGTGCCTGCTCCAGTGAAGAAGATTATGCAGATGCTCAGTTCATTTGTGAAAAATTGAATATAAAATTACACCATGTGAACTTCGTTAAAGAATATTGGACTGAAGTTTTCTCAAAGTTGATTGGAGATTATGAATTAGGTTTCACTCCAAATCCGGATATCTTGTGTAATAGAAACATAAAATTCAATTACTTTTATAAATATGCCCTAGAGAAGTTAGATGCTGATGCCATAGCTACAGGGCACTATGCAAAAACTAGTTTTGGGCCCTATTTAGAGGATTATGAACCCAATAAAGGTATTTGTTATCCAGTATCTCTGCTTTTCAACATATTGATTATTGTATTGTTTTAAGATGTTAGGTTACTTTTTGCCAAAGATAAAAGAAAAGACCAAACCTTCTTTTTGTGTCAAATAAAACAAGAACCATTGAGAAAAACAATGTTTCCATTGTGTGACATAACTAAATCAGAAGTGAAACATATGGCCATTGAGCATGGACTGGAAAAGATAGCTGTAAAACCAGAAAGTATGGGGATTTGCTTTATAGGATCTAGGAATTTCCAAAATTTTATCCAAGAGGTACTATACTTGGTACTATAAAAGTAGACAGTTAGTAATTATAAAGAATGTTAGTATATTTCAGACAAACCAGGAAACTTTGTGGATATTGATACAGGGAAAATAGTGGGGCAGCACAAAGGAGTCCATCAATGGACTTTGGGTCAAAGAACAAAGCTCCCAGGATTGCCAATGGCATATTTCATAGCCCGTAAAGATGTGAAAAATAATATAGCTTATGTTGTAAGGAAACACCTTTTAAATAGTAAAAACATTTGTTTATATATTATTTCTAGGCACAAGGTACCAATCATCCAATACTGAACTCAGACCTTCTTTTCACTCATAAACCCCATTGGATCAATAAGCGTCCCACTGAACTGGAATCAGGAGATATTCTTGAATGCCAGTTCAAATTTCAACACACTCATCCTTGGATACCATGCCAAGTATGTGAGACTAGAAAAGGCCTCACAGTCAAACTTTCTGAGGAAGTACGTGCTATTACTGGGGGACAATATGCTGTATTTTCAAAAAATGGGGAATGTTTAGGTAGTGCTGAAATAGCTAATGCTGGTGTATCCAAGTTTTCCATAGCTTACTCAAATAAGGAGTTTATCCAAGATCACACTGATGAAAAGAATAAAAGTGAGGCAGAAATGTATTGATGTATTTCATTTCAATTTTATTTACTATAATGATCTTTTTTTGATTTTTTGTAGTTGGGATCATGTTTATCATGCTTCTTACTTTTCTTATGACTCTTTGACTTCCTAGACTCATCATCTGTGCTAGCATGATCATGTTTTCTCTTTTTTGTTTTCTTCTTTTTTGAACTGGTATCTTTTTCTGATTCTTGGTCACTTGTTTTTTCAGTTTTCACAGGCTGAAATGAAACATTTACATATCAGTTCAAAGTACCTTCTGAATCTCTTTCAAGTCCTTACCACCTCATCAAGCTTTTCTTCTTTGATATAAATGGGCAATCTGAGGGGTAACTTTATATCTGCCTCTATCTGATTTCCAAGAGTTTCCCTCACATCTCTTGGAGGACTCTTCTTCTTAACTGGTATGAGCTGAGGAGCACATCCATCAGAATATAACTGCTTTGTCACTTCATCTGTCTTTTTACCCTCCTTTGGTACCTTATAACCAGCTACATGATCAACCCTGATAATTCTGTTCAATATTTTGATGCCATTGAAGTTGTCAACTGCCAATACAGTTGATCTCTGATCCTCATAGCAGAGGAAACAGAAACCTTTGGATTTGCCAGTGTCTTTTTCTCTGATGAGATTAATATTAACTATTTCACCATACCTAAAGAAATACACACTGATTTTTTTCTCAAGTTATTAGGTAAATAAGCCTTACTGAGAAAAAACACAGATGATGTCCCCTTCTGATAAATCATAAGGCAATCCTCCCACAAAAATCCATGCACTATCTTTATATTGATCATGCCAAGATGTCTTGTTTTTGTTATTCAACTCCTGCTCGCTTAGTTTCAACACATTTTTCATATTCCTGTAATGCAGGATAATAATGAATTTATTGTATTGCTTTTCTCCACTGATACTTACGTTAGGGGATTCATTTTTCAAAATAATTTCAATAATTTTTATTTTGAATTTTGTTTACTGTTAACGTTTGAGGTTAATTAGGATTTATTCTTCTGGCTTCTATTCTAATAAACGAGAAGAAAATGCAAGCATTAATTGAGCATTAACTTCATGCATGTGAACAAAAGAAAATCGAAGTGTCATTCAACTGACACGGCTGACGCCTGCGCATTGTCAGTCTCTAGTCTAGTGACGTTTCTGATATTCTGATTGTGAATGGCAACACCACTTCTGAGTTGTCATTTAAATTTTTTTTTGTTCTTATGAATATTAAAAAGCAAAAATGAGTTTAAAGCCCGAAAAAGATAAAGTCAAACAGCTACAGGACAAATGCCAGTCAGTGTTGAATAGTCTGTTAAGGGATGAAGATAATAAATATTGTGTAGATTGTGATTCTAAAGGTGGGTTTTATATTTCAATATTTTATCAAATAATCATGTTTCTACTGTCGAATTGCACTTCATTTATCGTTAGCACTATTAATAGCTTTTCGTTTTATAATGATCGGAATTCTAATTGATGTTTTTTGCAATCATTATGCCATTCTTTATCAATTTCAGGTCCAAGATGGGCTTCATGGAATATAGGTGTCTTTCTCTGTATTCGTTGTGCAGGAATACACAGAAACTTGGGGGTGCACATTTCCAAAGTGAAATCAGTCAACTTGGACTCTTGGACACCAGAACAAGTAGTATCTCTCCAACAAATGGGAAATTCTAGGGCAAGAGCAGTGTATGAAGCTAACCTTCCTGATAATTTCAGAAGACCACAAAGTGATTCTAGCTTAGAAACTTTCATCAGGGCCAAGTATGAGCACAAAAAATATATTGCCAGAGAGTGGGTACCTCCTACCATGCCCAAAGTGAATTGGGAGAAAGAAATTGATGATGAAATTGAGAAACAAAAACGAAAAAAGAAGACTATTGTTGAGAAGAAGTCTTTGAGTTCTGTGGAGGTTCCTCAGCTGCCAAAACCCACTAACCCCAGTCCTAAACCTGCTAGATCCACTAATGGTACTTTAGATACTAGCAACAAAGAGAAAAAAGATAAAAAGGACAGTGACTTACTGGGTAAGATGATGGAACAAGGGCAGTAAAAAATCAACTGAAATCAACTCCCTAATGTATCTTCATAATACCCTGGCAAAAATAAAAATGCAATCAGTGCACAAAACTAAATTTATTGATTGAGGATCTTAAACTTTTTTTTTCAAATCTATGCTGAGTAATGATGAGTGGATTATAGATTCTGCCTGAAAAAAATCATCATTTAGTTCTTATAAATAACAAATCAACTAATAATAATTAAGATTACTCTTATAGTCAGTAGAAATACCTTTCCTTCCAGAAAAAAAGGTGACACTATCACTACTATCAGTCAGATTTTCTTTCAATAAATTGAATATGTATATCCATCCATCAGTAAGATTTTCTTTCAATAAATTGAATATGTATTTGTATTTCCATTAATGAAATTGATGATAATGATGATAATTTGTTGTCAACATTGCAATATTCTGCTCATGCTTAAAGATCCCAGTTCATTGTTATTGTTTTTTTTATTATGCAACTATCAGAATTTTATTATTAAATATTCAGGATTCCAAAATGGGGATGACAGCTTCAGTGGTTTTGTTTCTGCACCTACCACTGTGGATCCCAAACCAGAAAAGCTAGAGCCCCAGCCAGACTTGGCCAAAAATGAGGAGGAAAGTTTTTTCAATCAAGTAATACCAGCAGAAAAAGAGAAAGTGAAGCTGGATAAAAATGGTATTCTAGCATTGTATGCTAATGGCCCTAGTAACAACTTCAACCAGTTTCCACAAGTTACTTATGTAAGTCAAATGAATACCATTGAATACCAACAGTGATAAAAGATATATTTTCAATTAAATAAATAGTGATGTGAATTCACAGCAGAAAATGATTTTGAGCATTTTTTATTAGGCAAAAAATTTCAAACAACACTGTTTTCATTGAATTATTTTTCAAAGGGGTGAAGCATGGTGGAATTCTGTTGTACAAACAACTGGAATTCCCTGGATTTCCTTGATATTCCTTGGATTTTCTTGGAATTCCTTGGATTTCCTAGGGATTCCATTGGAATTCCTTGGAATTCCTTGGATTTTCTTGGAATTCTCTGGAATTTCTTGGGTGAAATGCACTATATTCCTGGGCTACAAACAACTGGAATTCCTTGAAATTCCTTGGATTTCCTTGGAATTCCTTGGATTTCCTTGGATTTCCTTGGAATTCTTTGAGTGAAGTGCGGTATAATTCTGGTGTACAAACAACTGGAATTCCTTGAAATTCCTTGGATTTTCTTGGAATTCTTTGGATTTCCTTGGAATTCCTTGGAATTCCTTGGAATTCCTTGGATTTCCTTGGAATTCTTTGGATTTCCTTGGATTTCCTTGGAATTCCTTGGATTTCCTTGGAATTCATTAGAATTCTTTGGATTTCCTTGGAATTATTTGGATTTCCATGGAATTCTTTGAGTGAAGTGATGTATAATTCTGGTGTACAAACAACTGGAATTCCTTGGATTTCCTTGAAATTCCTTGGATTTCCTTGGAATTCCTTGGATTTCCTTAGATTTCCTTAGATTTCCTTGGAATTCATTGGAATTCCTTGTGAAATTGAAGTTTGGTGCACACAATTTTGACCGCGGTTTACCCCTCGAATTTTTCTGACTATAATTGACATTGTAAATAATATAATATAATATAATAATATAAATAAGAATAAAAACGAAATAGGAAAACAAAAATAGTTGGTTGACAATATTTTTTTCTTCTCATACTCCATAAATCAAATATCAACCCTTTTTTGGGAGGATGTAATATTCAGACATTTCAAGATTGATTGGCCTCATCAGTTGCTCTCGGTCTCCTGACAACTGGAATATTCAACTCTTCCGGTATATCACCCATGGCGCCACTAGATGGCGTTAGCATGACTAGATCATCATGCTGTATCCAGGGTCTATAACATTTTTGTCTTTTTGGAATATTTTAGAGTGATTCTGGTAAATAATTGTCAATTCTGTTGAAAACAATCTAGAACTGTGATAGATATTGAATATTTTATATTTCTTGAATATTTCCGAAATGCCACATGATAAAGTGATGCAATTGGTACAAGAACTAAACAAACCATGCCCAATGCGGTGAACATAAAATCATTTCGAAGTTTCATTCAGGAGTGTATAATACAGGGTGCGACTACATTAAATATTGCTCAAACTTTTTCGTATGCATATTTTTTGACAATTTAATCTCGGATTATAAAAATCCACACCGTTTCACGAAAAAATGTGCTCTTGTTCCTCATCGATCAGATGTATCATTTTCGAGTGAAATCGATTTGAAAATATTATGCATAACGTTGCCAATTTTCAAATCATAGTGGCTATAAAAAAATAAAGTACTTTATTTTCAATACTGTCTTTAGGTTAATCGAGGAGGCGGTACATTCATTATTCCAAATTTTCTAAACAATATCATAAAATCGCGAAAAATAAAAAAAAAGATGATGAAAAAACTACTTCAATTTTTGTGCATTTTTTTTTCATTTTCACTACGCCTCATTGCAATGTTATGCATAATATCTGAGATGTAACAATATTTTTAAATTGCTTTTACTCGATAATAACACATCTGATCGTCACGGAACAGGAGTACCTTTTTTCTGTAAAAAGGTGAGAAAATTCATAATCCAGGATGAATCGTCGAAAAATATGCATAAAAAAAATTTAGAACAATATTTTAGGTAGTCCTACCCTGTATTATACACTCCTGATTGAAATTTTGAAATGATTTCATTTTCACTGCATTGGGCATGAAAAGTTTAGTTCTTGTACCGAATTCTATTTTTTTATCACATAAAGTTTCGGAAATACTCAAGAAATATCATCTTCAGGAGCCCCCTTTCAGGGGGCCGTAGCTCCCTTAGGAGACATTTCTTGACTCATGTTCATTGACAGATTTCTTTCTATTTTTGGTCGTTAAAGCCGCTGGCGAAGTTTGGCAGGCTAATTTCGGGATACCCTGTATATCATTTTGAAGGGAAAAAAATAAGGAGTTCAATGAGCTTATGAAATACAGAGTGTTCCATTTGAAAAATCATCAGTTTGAGTCGTATCTGCAAAACCATACCCCGAAAAAAAAAAGTTAGTGTGCTACTTTATTCTGCGTAAAAATCTCTATGGGATAAGATTCTAGTTTGACATTTGCGCTGAGAAACTTCGGAAACAGTCATGCAAAATCTGATTAGGCCATCTTGAGTTTCACAATAAAGTAGCACAGGACCGCAAAACCCGCAAGGTTTTATCTCCGAATATAACTGAGATATCACACAAAAGCATCGAAAACTGGACACACTGTGCAGGTGTTTCCAAAGGGGTTCAGCCCCCGCAAAAATCAAAGGAAAAGTGAAGAGACGACATTATCATTTTTGCTTTTCGACAGCCCGCTGCACAGCCCCCTTTCCAGGCCTTCGCCCCCTTCCAGCAGCAGGCGCAGCCCCAGCCGCCGTTTGCTCCCATTCAGACCGGAATCGGCCAGCTGCCCAACCACTGGCCGCAGCAGCAATGGGGCAAGCAGGCGCAGATCGCAGGCGCGCCTGCGCAGGGGCAGTTGCAGTTCAATATGACGGGAGCCCCACAGGTTAGTTCCAATGTTGATTGATATATTATGCTTACGCTGGGAAGATGCCCAACCTTATGGAGCAAAACGAGGTCCAAAAAAATCTCACAACTAGATGGCGTAGCATAGTTCGAAATCTCACATAGTGGCGGCGATAGTGTCAAATCAAATCAATCAATCAAAATCAAATTGAGGGTGGTTTCAGCTAATACTGAAGGGGTATATCCTGGATATCGCTTGTAAAATCTAGGTAATATACCGGGTGGCCCATTCAAGACGATCCACCCTGAATAACTCTTGAACACATGATAGAATGAAAAAATGCTCAGACACGTCAACTTTTATTTCTTGGGGGACATAATTTGAGATGGGTTTGTCATCTGTCATAACTTCCCCTTCCCCTAGAGAACCACCCTTTCAAGAATTTCAAATGGAAACATGGGTCCAGTGATACCTCATTCGAAAGGTATTTCCACCCAGATAATAACTGTGTTTTGTTTTTGAAAATTGATTGATTAGTTTTTGAAATAATGGGTGTAGCCCATTCAAGACGATCCACCCTGAATAACATTTGAACACATGATAGAATGAAAGAATGCCCAGACACGTCAACTTTCATTTCTTGTGGACATAATTTGAGATGGATTTGTCATTTGTCATAACTTCCCCCTCCCCTAGAGAACCACCCTTTCAAGAATTTCAAATGAGAACATGGGTCGAGTGATACCTCATTCGAAAGGTATTTTCACTCTGATAATAGCCGTGTTTGGTTTAACCATTCTCTCACTGGGATAGAATAATGGGGCGGAGCACCATCTTGCTGAAAATGAACATTTTCTGCTTCTAGAGTTGGATCGTTGTAGATAGCATCTGCTATGAGTGGCTCGATTTGATTTTCTAGCATATGCAAATAAACAGCACCATCTAGATTTCTATCAATAGTTAATGGCCCAATAATAGTATTCCCTAGAATGCCAGCCCACACGTTAATCTTCTGAGGGTTTTGAGTATGATCTTCTCTGAGAATATGCGGATTGTGATCGCTCCAATAGCGACAATTCTGTCTGTTCACGAAACAATTCAGATAAAAAGAACACTCATCACTGAAACAAATGTGTTTCAGTAAATTTGGATTCCTTTGGATCGTTGCCGTCATTATTTTGCAAAATTCATTACGCCTATCAAAGTCATCCTCATTGAGCTCCTGATGGAGTTGTAACTTATACGGATGGAATTTATGAGTTTTGAGGACCCGTTGAATCGAACTTCTTGAAATTCCAGTAGAAAGGCTGAGTTGGCGAACTGATAAAGTCGGATCAACTGCTATCTGTCCCAAAATACCTATCTGATTCACTTCATCCGTAACTGGTTTGATGCGATGCCTCTTATTGTTGTCAACCGATCCTGTCTCACGAAATTTTCTCACAATTTCCAGAATATACCTAAATGCGAAAATAATTTTGAAGAAGCAAAGTTTATTGTCATGCCTATACTTACTTATGTGACACATTTCTTTCCGGATGTCTTTCATTGAATAATCTAGCTGTCAATCTGGCACAATTATTGTGTGAAACAAAAATGAAAATAATATCTACTTTCTCATCTTTTGTGTACACCATTCTGAACAATTCGAATATGGGATCTAACAATCAACGAAAATTTCTACGGTTTCGAATTCGATAAATATGAAACCAAGTTTCTGTACGACAAATCGAAACCATGGGCAAAAACTTGTACAGTTTTCTTGTGTACATGGATCTATGGAGATACGTAGTCAGATTTTTTTGTATTGATATAATTTTTACGGTTTGATTTTAATCTTCATATCTATCTTCTGCTGAACGAACAGTTACTAAACCGTTATGAGATCATGGAAAAATTATTGCCCACAAGGAATATTCTTTAAAGTCCTAATATTAATTGATATCGAAGGAATAGGAATATTTCTTGAATGGGCCACCCGGTATATTAAAACGTTGACTTATGTCGGCAATATTTTGAAGACATTGTCACCTCCTTGCTAGCGACTTTATTCCATTTAAAGTCTCCACACTGTATACAACAAATATATTCGGGAGAATAATGAAGATAAGTGACATCATAAAGTTCGTTATTTCCATATTCGAGGAAAAAATCAGTAATGATCAAAAAATCGGAATAAATCAAAAAAATAACAATCTCATCGAGAAAAAAATCGTGGTTTTTTGCAACTCTGATTGGCGCAGGTTCCAACCCAATTCAACGCCAACCCCGCCATGGGCGGCTTCCCACCGCCGGCCGCTCCCGCCCAGTTCTACCAGCCGCCCTTCGCCGCGGGCGGCCCAGACCGCCAGCCGCCCAACCCGTTTTTCGCCGCGCAGAATCTGCAGCAGCAATTCGGGGCACTCAACCTCGACAACCGGCCCGCCAACGCGGGTAACGCGTGGCCGTAAGGGGGGCCAAGGGGGGCAGATTTTCCTAAGGGGTGGGGCGGGATGTCTCCGCATTGGTGGTCGGTAGGGGCGGTACGATTCGGAAGTGTTCGAGCAGGGTGTTCGCGTTTATTTCGAACCTTTTTCTGATAACCCTCGTTGAGGAAGAAAAAACTAAAAAATAATAATTGGCTACTGGACTGATAGTGAATAATAGGTTAGTGGACAACTTTTTTATTCATTTCTTATACAGGGTGTTTCACAGGTAAAGGGAAATATTTCAATGGTAGATAGGGGTCACCAAGGTGGTTCTGAAAATACCATATTTGATAGGTCTTAGAGTTTTCATAACGGAGATACAGGGCGATTTATCGATTTCGAATAATTATTCATTCCTCTATAAGTATTGAACTACCCAGTATATTTTTCTGAAATTTGGTATGGAGCTCAAACTTGGGACGTTGAATGCATTCACCTATCGGGCGAAGTGAAAATCCAGGTACGGCCTCAGGAAAAATTTACATTTATTCGAAATATTAAAATAACACACTGTATGTAATAATTGACAAAGTTCATCAAAGGAATCGTGAAGAGGAGGAAAAAGTGAACTGGATTTGATGCTTTCTGTTTTTCCGCCACCAATTCTCATCGTAACAATCATAAACAGGAAGCTAAAAGTATGTCAATTTCAAGAGTATTAAAATTATGAAACCACTTTCAATTATGATTATTTGATATATTCTTGTTCGAAAGAACTTACTTAGTCTCACAGTCTTTATAACAGAGATACAGGGTGAATTATCACTCGTCCATAAGTATTAAACTACCCATCGCAGTAATATTTTCTCAAATTTGGTATTGAGCTTACTTGGGACGATGGATTCATTGACCTATCAGGCAGAATGGAAATACAGGTTCAGCTTCAGGAAAAGTCTCATAGTCTTTATAACAGAGATACAAGGTGAATTATCGAATTATAATTCCGCCTGATAGGTTAATGAATCCATCGTCCCAAGTAAGCTACATACCATATTTGAGAAAATGTTACTGGGTAGTTTCATACTTATGGACGAGTTAATAATTATTCAAAACCGATAATTCACCCTGTATCTCCGTTATAACAACTGTGAGACTTGATAAGTTATTTCGAGCGATTTATTGACTAAAATATATCGAATAATCATAATTGACACTGGTTTCATAATTTCAATACACTTCAAATTGACATACTTTCAGCTTTCTATTTATGATTGTTACGATGAGAATTGGTGGCGGGAAAACAAAAAGCATCAAATCCAGTTCAGTTTTTCCTCCTCTTCACGATTCCTTCGATAAACTCTGTCAATTATTACATACAGTGTGTTATTTTAATATTTCGAATAAATGTAAATTTTTCCTGAAGCCGAACCTGGATTTTCACTTCGCCCGATAGGTGAATGAATTCAACGTCCCAAGTATAAGCTCCATACCAAATTTTAGGAAAATATACTGGGTAGGTCAATACATATTGACGAATGAATAATTATTCGAAATCGATAAATCGCCCTGTATCTCCGCTATGAAGACTCTAAGACCTATCAAATATGGTATTTTCAGAACCACCTTGGTGACCCCTATCTACCACTGAAATATTTCCCTTTACCTGTGAAACACACTGTATAGAATCATCACTCAAATACCTTCAATTTCATATATTTTTAGAATTTTTCGGGCGATTTTTAGGTGATAAAATCATCAATATTGAAACGGTAATTTTCTAACGGTGCACGACTTGAGGGCGTTGTCTTGTCAGTTCTCAGCATTCAGCACAATGTTGTCACGTTTACCATACCAATAGGAACTAATAAAATTATTATAAACACAAATTCATCATGAGCAATAAGCCAGAACACATAAGAGGGAACATTTTAGGACAATGGATATGTTATAGTTGATTGAGATTATGGCCAATGCATTATTGAAAATCTCATTATTATTGAATAAATAATATGTCTGAAGTTCCCAATCGTATTTCAACATATGGCAACTGTGCTTTCGCATTCCCCTACTTCCAAAGCCTCGACATTGGTTGTTATTTGCGGTAAATTTCTTGCCGTTCAAAAATTATCGCGGCATTATTGATAATTTTCGGAACTTGAATTGGACCGAAAAAAAAAAAAAAAAAGTCCACTTTCCTGATGTAAAATTCCATCTACTAATAATGTCTTGATTTGCCTCTAAAATGACCAATTATAGGTTTCAAGGGTATAAAATTAAGAAACACCCTGTAAGTTCTCGATTTTCTAAATAGGATCACATAGTTATTAAAAAATTCAAGAACGTTTTTTTCATAAAACTATCATTTTTTGTTTTTTTTTCTCGACATGGAGCTATTGGGAAAATGGTTCAAAATATACGTGAAGAGCTTGTACAGGGTGATTGAATATGGATTTCACGCTTTCAACACCCAATATCTCTTAAAACTAATTGGAGTTATTCTTCAAAATAGAATCTTGAATCAGATGTTGTGTTCTTGCCAATGTTGCCCTCCAAATATTAGATCCCCATTCCATATACGGGGGTTGTGAAAATATAGAATTTTTCAAAAGCATTCTTTTTCCTGATTCCAAAATTATTTAATTTTCATACATTCCATGAAGTAACACTGGATGAATCAAAGAAATATAGATTGATTGAAATATTGTAGGTGTCATCTAATTGAATTCAAATTTGCTGTCAAGTCAACTGACAATCAATATTTTCAATAATCTCCTGCTTTCAATTAATCTAGAGTTATATTTCTTTGATTCTCCCAGTATTGATTACTTCATGAAATACATGAAAATTATGTTTATGAAATCAGAAAAAAACACTTTCACAATTTGCAATAAAATATACCGGGTGTCCCAGTATACCTGTTCCAATAGATTATCTCAGCCATTTCGAAAGATGAAAATTTGAAAATCACATGATCTACCTACTACAATTCTGATAATTTGAAATTATTATTGAAGTCAAAATCAAGAATCAAAAAATATCGTAGTCTACTGCAATTCGTTCAATTTGTAGAGTCACTTCCGGTCAAACCGGAAGTACCTTTCAATTTTTGTTTCTCCCAGTTGAAGCTTCCTTGAACGAATTGGAGATCATGAAACTTTCGAATTTTTATTTTTGGAAATGGCTGAGATTATTCATTGGAACAGGTATACTAGGACACCCGGTATATATATGAATATATGAAAAAAATAAATATTTTCACACCCGTGTATGCAATGGGGATACTATGTTTGGAGAGTATCATGTGAAAGAGAACAACATCTGATTCAAGATTCTATTTTGAAGTTTCCAATATCTCAATTAGTTTTCGCGATATTGAGTGTTGAAAGCGTGCAAGTCATATTCATTCACCCTGTACAATTATGTTTTTTGTTGGTTGCTGCTGCCATGTAAGTACCAAGTGCATTTATTTCAGCTCATGTTTTTTTTTAGTTGCATTCTAATAACTGTTTCCCACAAACTAGTCCATTTTCATAAAATATTTTTTGATCAACAATCCCAGAAATGTGGGTAATTTTACAATTTTTTTAATGATCTCAACTGGTGCAATTTGATTTCCTGCAGCCTCTGAAATATTAGAAAAAAATGGATTGTATCACTTTGTTGCCTTGAATTGTTGACTCAATTTCACCTATATTCATTTAAAACCGGGACATATATAGAATATTCCGTTCGAGTTGACGGGTACTAGACAATATATTTTTTCTGAGGTGAACTAATTTACATTTTTGAATATTCTCATGGAAGTTGGAATATTGATGAAGCCCAAATGACACTATGTAATTAATTTCACAGGGCGATCCACCATAAACCCTTTGTAACTTTCTTATTTACAAAGAAATTTTAACATTTCTCGGAAAATTTCAAAATCCATCACTTTTTCAGATATGTAATGATGAAAAACTAAAGTTGCAATCTTGGTTCTTGATATTCGTACATAATATTGTGCAAGTAATCTGTCAAGTTTTGATCTCATCAGCATAAAATATAAATTACGTCTATTCCGAGTTATATAACTTCAATCGACCATCAGCCTAATTTAATAAAATGGATGAAAATCTACAAATAGAGAAAATATCACAATCAACTTGAGAGTTTCTTCTCACAAAGTTGTCATGTTTGAATATAGAAAAATAGTACTTTTTGAAAATGTCGTTTCAAAATATGATGCTTGTGATATTTTCTTTATTTTTTTCTTGTTCAACTTTTGTGGCTGGACTTATTTTGAGACAGAGTATGAGACAATGGAAATAAACCATTTTTCGTCATGTACTTGATAAGGTCTTGGTATAGTAAAATAAATTTGCCATCTCTGAGTATATCTTTTAATCTAAGGTCATTATTGAGATTTCATAGTTTTTAATTGATATTATTTCGTATTTTCCATTTTTTATGTTTCTATCCTCTAAGTTATAGTATTTATTGAGAGAAAATAGTGAAATTCTTGTCCTCTGGACACTTTGTTATTTATTTTATCATTTTAGGTACCCTGATAATTTTTTAATCCAAATCTTGAGTTATTTTGAAGTTCTGAATTTCCCTAAAACACCCTTCAATCATTATAAAACATCCTATTTCATTCTTCAATTGGATGTGATTTTAATTTGTGGGTATTGTTGCAATATTAAAAAATGTCCAGGAATAACTATCAAACGAATTTTGAAGAATTTATTTACAAGCCCTTGAATTTTAACTATTATGATACTAGTATTTTATAAAAGACGTTATATATGGAATTTTATTAGTTGAATTGTTTGAAACTATTTTCTTATGTTATGCTTATGTACGTTGGATGTAACATAATTTGTAAACACTAAGAATTTTGAAGAAATATAGTAAATGTAAAAATGTCTCATTGAAAACATCTGAATGGTTATTGAAGATGAATAAAACTACTTAAGAAATTCAATCTCTACTCTGTATACCCAGTTCATAATCATAAGACACATTGAAGGTAATTTTCCAATAAGTGGAAGTAGCAAGGATCAATTCTAGCACCAACAC